CAAGTTTGACAAAAGAACTAGTTGAATAAAAATGGTCCCCATAATTATTTTCAAATTTCAATTGAGTTGCAACTTAATTGTGACATAAGGAAATTTAATTGCGTCACAAGTTGCAACTCAATTGCGCTATTTTTTTTAATTGCAGTGACCATCTTTATAGTTAAAGGTGAACTTTTCGAGAATGATGAAAATACAGTTGATGATGATTTAAGCAATTTAGAAGAGGTAATGGATAATACAGCAACAATGGATAATTTATTAAAAAATGCAAAAAATTTATTTCTAGAGCTGTAAAATTTTTATTTTTATATAAATAAAATTGTTTATAATAAAGAAAATCTAATATTTTAAGTCTAATTATCAAGCTAATCAATATTTTTGAGCTAATCAATAAGTTGAGTTAATTATTTAATTTTATTAATGCTGAAAAAATTAAGCCACAAAGTGACTGGAATTACACATTCTAAATTTAAAAATTTTGTATAACTACATGACTGTCAATTTGATTGGTTAATTAATATATAACAATATCAAAATATTGTAATTTTATTAGTCAGTTACATGTGACAATATCGAAATTTTGTATAACAAAAATGGTCTCTTCTAGAGTGGAGAACAGATCCCATTTGGTATACAATCATCCTCCCTTATAGTCATACCTGTTGGGATTATAAAATTGTATGCTTATAAGAAGGTATACTTATAGGCAGGATTTTCTTATAATCACAATATATATAAAAATTTGCATATAATTTTGTACTATATATAGATTATTAATCAATTATATAAAATTTATTATTAAAACATTTATTAAAGTATTATTTTATTATATTATTATTATTAATTACAAAAAAAAATCAAGTGTATATTATTTTTTAAAATTTCTTTCTATAATTTTAGTTGTGAAAATACTTTCAAAAAATAGATAACTTATTAGTTTTAAATCTAGAGCTTTTATTTTGCTATTCAAAATATTTAATAAATGTTTTCAAACTATTAACTGCTTATTTTGCTGTAACTAATGAAATTAAAAATGGCATTGCAACTGGTTGCAACTGGTGACAAATAAGCATTACAGGGTTGCAACTAGTTGCAACATTAATAAAAATTAAGTTGCAACTAGTTGCAACTGGTGACAAATAAGTATCACATAGTTGCAACTAGTTGCAGCGCCATCTTTAAATGAAATCTTTCCATCCAATATATCTTCTTCATTTTCATTTTCTATATCTTCAGATTGTACGAGATTTATAATTTGTTTATCAGATATATATTCTGAAATATCAATTTGTTGCAAATATTCTTGCACTTTATCTGCCTCTGGTAAATTATCATGAATATATTCAATTTCTTTAAAATCTGATTCTTGCATATCATTCACATTTATAAAATCTATATCGAATACAAGATTTGTCCTCAAAAATTGAGATTTATTTTTTTTAATAGGGATCGGCATGATCAACTGATGTAAAAAACACATTTTTTTATATAAAAATTCGAAAAAAAGCAAAAAAAGCGTAACTTCATTTCATTTTTACAAGAATGTAACAAATAAACTATTTCTACACTATTAAGAAAAAATATACCCTTAGTTGTATTTTAAAATAAATAGTACAATAAATATTGTAGCAGTCAAAACCTTAAAACGATCTTCCTTCAAAAAATTCAAAATTTATCGTCATTATTTTTATGGCGAAAGTGAATGTGTCTGTTACTATAAAGTAGAAAAACTTTTGCGGACTATATATATTGTAATGAGTTTAATTGTAATGGTTTTGATAAGAAAATAGTTTAAAATTATAGTTTTACAACTGAAAATACTAACATTATAGTGATAGTAATATAGCGTTAGTAATAGTTTTCATGAATTTTATTTCAAAATGTTAACGTTAACGTTAAGGAGAATTAATATCATGGAATATCGAAATATAAACAATACAATTGAAATATATTCTGTCAAGAAAATCTTTCACAATTGCTTATGAGATTAAGCCTGATATTATTTTTTTATTAATTAGGTTGATTTGCTTTGTGAACAATTTGATGAGGTGAAAGTAAAGCAATCCAAGAATTAAAAACAAAATTTCTCGTTCAAATATATGGTGTAATAAATGACCAAATGGAGTTTTTATGATGGGTGTTTTGGCAGTTAGATAGCACTATCAGGTGACGATTTATATGCAAGTGTTAAAGTATATATCGCTAAAATAAAAGGTAACGGTAAGATAATCAATTTTATTTAAAATATTTAATCAGAAAGTTTACACATTTTTTTATCATTATGCTAACTTTATAATTTTAAATATTTAGTATTAGGTTTTGATATCGATATTGTATGCATGATGCAACTTATTTGTAAAGTTCAAACTGCAATATATTTCAAAATTGTATGTCACACTAGATTATTGTTATGGAGACTATATGTATATCGATATGTATTTAGTCAAAAAGACTAAAGGAAAGACATTCTTATATACTTTATTAGAATACTTACCATTATTTTTTTATGTTAGTGTAACATTATCGTTATTATTTATAGAATTTAAATTCAAAACAGAATTATTGATTTGATTTGTATTTAATTATCCTTATCATTATATTTGAGCTCTATATTAATGTTAACGTTAATCAATTATTCATTATTTGATAAAAATAAAATTTATGGTTGCAATTATCACGATATCGATTGTATTGTTATTTTGATCAATTTTGATCGATCATTGTTAAGAGATTGACATGATCGACTAAAGTATCAGTATCGATATTGATATCGATATAAATTTCATGAAAGTAAAATTTGTCTTCAAAAATTGAGATTTATTTTTTTTAATAGGGGATCAGCATGATCAACCAATATAAAAAACTCATTTTTTCATATAAAAAAATGAAAAAAAGCAAAAAAAGCGTAACTTCGTTTCATTTTTTACAAGAATGTAACAAATTAACCATGCCTACACTATTAAGAAAAAATATACCTTTAAGTTGTTTTTTAAAATAAATAGTACAATAAATTTTGTAGCAGTTAAAACCTTAAAATAATCTTTCTTCAAAAAATTCAAAATTTATCATCGTTATTTTTATGGCAAGAATAAAATGTGCCTATTACTGGAAAGTAAAAACACTTTGCGGATTATATCGATATACATTGTAGTGAGTTGAATTTAAGAGTTTTGATAACGATAAGGCAATATATTAAAAAATACTATTATTTAATTTACTACAAATAATAATTTAGTGATAACAATATAGTGTTAGTGATAATTGAAAAAATACTCTGTCAAGAAAAGTTAAAAACCTTTCATTAATTGTTTATCATTATGAGATTAAGCCTGATATTATTTTATTAATGAAGTCGATTTGCTTTGTTGATGAGAAGGTAAGAGTAAAGCAAATTCTGGTAAAAACAAAATTTCCCGTTCAAAATATATGGTGTAGACCAAATAGAGTTTTATGTTGGTTGGATTGCATTATTTGAAAAGCATTTATATGCAAGTGTTAAAGTATACATTACTATAGATAAAAGATAATAGTAAGATAATCAATCTTATTTAAAATATTTATATATTTTTTTATCATTAAGCTAACTTTATAATTATAAAATATTTAGGTTTGATATTGTATGATTATCATTATTAACTCAAAAAACAGGAATTTAGATAAGAAGGATAGATTTAAAACTGATCGTATTAACTAATTGATAGTATATTTTTCAATTTCATTGGCTAATTACAAGTTCTTGGATAGTTTCAGCAACTGAAATAGCTAGTGAACGAATTTTCCAGAGCAAATAATCCATCAAAGTGATTCTAGATGTTGCTCTACTAATTGAGTTAAATAACTTTGTATGTTGCTGAGGATTCTTTTATTATAGTCGAGAATGCGACCAATGCTGTTGTCGAGCAGTATTATGCTGTAATGGTGTCAAAGTTCTAACTTTTCAGAGAAATTGACGTGTAAATTTTTAGTATGAAGTAAATTTTCTAAAATGTGTACGCATCTAGATCATTATTTATGCTCGAAGAGAATATTAGCGAAACTTCTTGAAAGAATTCAAAGAGGCAGAGCCTGTGTTATTGAAGAATTATATGGAAAGAGCATTATCAAACTTAGTATTTATCAGACATGTATGTTAGTATTAGAATTTAAATTCCATTTGTTGCTCTTTGATCGTTATATCTGAAGGAATGTTTTACGATTATTATTTCAATTTGTAATTAGATGCACTATATGCGAAAATATCCTATAAGTATCATTCAGAGAAATGGACATCAATTTATTTCTGTATATACTAATTTACTTTTACATGACAGGAATGGCAACTCTTTTTTTCTTCCTCGAACAATCATCATCACAACTGGTATTATTAACCACCGAAAGTAATTCTGGAACTCATACCATCGGTTTGATCAGATAAATATGAAAATGAATGCTAAAGAATAAAGATGGGCATGATATCGATATTTATTACAGCAATTGATATAAATAAGGAATAACGTGCAAAGGTATTTATTTTACTTATATTCAATATATTTATTGTATTATTTTATTTTCGATATCGTTATTCTTTTCAATTTACATTTATTATTTATACAGGGAAATCAGAAGAATATGAATGTGCTTATTTAAACAAATAAGCGTCGTCGATAAATGAATGCAACAAGTCATAAAATTATAAATAGTGCGCTTCTTAAGCAGATGTTAGAATATCGATATTGGTACGATAATTATTTTTATATAGAATTTATCGATCTATATATAGCGATAGCTTGCGATAAAGATTTGTGCCTCCAAAATTTGATATGATCGGCACAATATACAAATAAGACGCAACTTTTTTTAATTTTTTTAACTTTAACGTTGATAAAAATATACTTGTAAGCAGTTTCTTTAAAAAAGTTTTATAGTAGTCGTAATCCTTAAATAATCTTCATCAAAAGTTTTTTTTTTAAAAAAAAAAAAAAAAAATGTCTTTTGAAAATGAAAGTACCTGTTTTTGGGAAATGAGAACTCTTGCAGACTATATAAATAGTTGCGAATTTGAATGTAATGATCCTGATAAGGATAACATCTTACTTGAGAACGATGATTATAGTATTACAACTAACAATACTTGTGAAATTCCAGCAACACTTACTACAAATGATAGCAATAGTGAAGATACTCATGAATTTTTGTTCGATTATGAAGCATTTCAAAATGCTAAAGAAAAAGCTAGTTTAGATGAATGTAATAAAGTTAATATCGATATAATATGGGAGGATATGGACTCAATTGAAAAAGATTCTATTGAAAAAAGTTCAACAATTAGTTCTGATAAAAACTATCTAATAAGTGATATTGAGTGTAAAAATCTTGTTCCATATGTATTGATAGATATTTTCGATAAACAAATAAAACGTTGTCCAAATTATGCAAAGCTAGAACATACTTTTCGTCCTCTTCGACAATTAATAGAAATGTGGAAAGTTAATAGAACTGTGATTAGTCAAACTAATCCTGAAACTATGTTACACATTTTAGGTGTCTGTATGTCACATTTTACATTTGATCAAAATCGATTACATAAAAAAAATTAAAAACAAACATGATTAGTAAAAGAAAGTTATATTTACCGACATCAATGTCTCTTTTGCCACAAAGATAAATATTTTTTTAGCTGTGGTGAGAGTTGTATAGAGTATTCTGTAAATATTATAAACTGAAATATACAAGTACCTTGCGTAGGACTTCAAGTGTGTTCAGCTTTTAATAATGAAAATAAAATTTCTAAAAAAAATAATGATAATATAAATCAAGCAGCACGTTATATATGTTCAGTATGTTTTCAAATAGAATGTGGTCATTTTTTGAGCATAAAGAAAGTGGCACAAAGGTTTTTTCCTGTCAGAAAGAACATAATCATGATATTATTGATGCTCTTAAATTATTAGGACGATGGATTTCAAATGTGGCTGAATCAGATGATGATAAAATGAAAAATATTTTATTAATAGAAATAAGCACAGTAATTAGTACAGTTATTAAAAAAGTAAAACAAAAAAATGATAATGTTAAAGAAGTGACTCCAAGTTTATTGTCATTTAAAACTACATTACGTTTAGCAAAAATAAATTTAAAACTATTAAATGACGAATATTCTATTTGAAAGAGCAACCAAAAAAAATTGAAGAAATTTTTGGAATATGTACATGGAAATCACGTTCAGAAGTTTGTGAAAAAAAAAAAGTACTTGAAGTATTACAATCACTTGAGGAATATCAAAGTGGTTTTCCAGTAATTTTAAAAGAATTTTTTGATGGATTTATAACCTATTTATAAAAAAAAAATATAATGTAGAAAAAAAATGAAAGTAAAGAGAACAACTACCAAAAAAATTTGATAAAACTCGTTCAACAAAAATATCAGTTTTTATTATTTCAATAGTTTTATTAATCATATTTCCAGAAGTTGATGTATGGCTTACTTATATTATGAGTTTCTTATATTGAAAACCAAATCTGTTAAGTTCTATTTACACAATTTTGTATACAGCAAGTGTAGTTTTCCATACTCAACGTCATGAAAGAAGATTAGAAAAAACAAGAATGAGCAAAATTAAACCCGAAGAAAGGTTGCAGCAAGATAAAAACATATAGAACATTTGTGTGATTGACAATATAGACTTCAAAGAATGATCATTTGCTTATGGTAATATATATGATGTGACTCGAGCAACAGCACATGCAACATTACGAATGGTTTTTCAATTTAAATTACCAGTTCCTCTTTAGTCAATTATAAAAGAGGCCAGTTCTATTGAAAAAAACCATTTAAAATTGGTTCATCACAGTTTGTAGAAAATGAAATTCAAAACTTTGAAAATAAAATTGGCAATTTATTAAAAATTTATGAAATGGACTTCAATGTGAATACAGTTTATCAGGAATTAGTTAAAGATGTTGAATTAGGATATAAATTATTACTACCCAATGTAATTATTTTAGAACCTGGTGAAAATTCATGTAATAATGAGGCTGTACACAATGCTTGTAACATGTATTTTAAAGATATTTTTCCAAAAAATGGTGACTATAAAAACCTCGATGTGGCTTGTAACAAAGCGATCTTTTGTCAATTAATTTCTTATCAAGAACAAAAACCTGAATTGAGACTTTTACTTAGTGCATAGCATACAAATAAAGAAATTTGTACCACTTTAATCACTATTTTTTCAGAATATGGAATTTTTAATTTAGCGGCTTGTATTGGTGTTTGCTATTTAGACAAATTAGAGAAGGTAGTAGATTATCAAGCGACATGCTGTGTCTTAGAATTAATATGGGTAGCAGTTAGAATTTCTTTGAATCAAATAATCAAACCTTTAATGATATTATTTAAAGTGATAATAACTATATAATGAAAGTATGGTATTTATATTTTTGTTAGTGTGGGTATTGAATAGGGCATAAAATAGGAATTCAATATGGTCATTACAATATGCAATTTGAAAATTTGATTGCATTTGCCTCACTTTTTCCTGTAGCGGGAAAAAGTAACTATGCAAGATCAGTTACTCATTTTTTATATATCATTTTTGAAAACCCATCTTTACAATTATTACTTCGTCATACATATTCTATCAATCTTACTAGTTCAGATCATTTTTTTGCTTTTGATGAAGCATTGAAAAGATTTAGCGTAAAGTATATAAAACAAAATATTGGAAAAAATCCTGATAATGGAGAAGATTTGAAACAACAAATAAGTTCTGTATAATCAGAATGAGAAAGATTAGACGTACTCTTAAATGAATATGTTAGAGAAGATATTTTAATTCAAAATAATCATGCTATAAAGTCTCATAAAGAAGCTCTTTGAAATTTGATTAATCAACTTACTAATGCTTTTAATCTTACGGATCCATCTACTCATGAAATATTTAAAGAAACAATTGAAAATAATAAAGATAGATTTAATAACCTATTTACTTGCTATGAAATTGGAGTTGAATGACTTAATAATATCCATACTCAAGAAATTAAAAAAAGTATCCCTTATAACACAAAAGAATGACGCGCAAAAAATATAAAGACAATTACAATTGAACAACAAAAAAAGATAGAAAAAAATCGTAAAGAATTAGAAAAAACAATTAAAAAAAATAATAAAATAACGCAGCAAAGTATTGTGCTTAATACAGAAAGGCAACCTCAAATTATATATGATGAAATAAATAACAATAATGATAATAATGGTTAACCCGACCTGACATCAACCTGAAAATCTATTGACCTGACCTGAATTTTCAGGTCAGTTCAGGACAGGTTAACAGGTCAATCTGACCTGTTTCAGAGCTCTATAGACTGCATTGCACTGCTGTAGCAACCATCCAAATGAGCTGTCACTTGGGGTAATAGTAAATATAGATAATGTTTAAAATATATTTTTTACATTAAATAATAATGATAACGATAATAATAAAATATTATTTACCATTACAACCTTACAACATTAATATTAAAGTTCCAATTCCTAAATGACAATATAGATCTTTAACTAATTCAGAACAAAATATCTTTTTAAGATTACAACAAACATCTGAATTATCGATAGAAAAAACAAAGGAAGTATTTATTGAAATCTGTTCTTTACCAGATAGCAAACCTGAAGATTAGGATATAAAATGAATTCAAGAAATTTGGTTAAGATATAGAAGACAGGTTAAAAGACAAAAACAAAATACATAAATAAATAAATACTTACCGTTACCATTTTTATATTAATACTAATATTAATGTGAATGTTAACGTTAAATATAATTTCTTTTTTATATTTACATATTTTGAAAATATTTGTAATAATAAAAATTGGTTATATAAAAAGGATCTTGCATAAACTGCTTATTTTTGTTGCCTATTTAAAACTATCTTATAAAAGTAAAATATAGTTCAAAGAAATATAAATTCTTTGAAATAGTAATAATTGACACTTGGTGAGTAAATATTTAACTTTAAAAGTTATTTTTTTTTAGTTAGAAAGTAAAATAAATTCAATCGTTGTGATATGATAATAATGTGATCAACATTTTTATATTATTTATTTGCAGATCAAAAGACATGTCCAGTGATCGATATCATCCATATTATTTATATCATCTATATTCTTATAGTGTTAGCAAATTTTAAGGTCATTTTCCTTTTTTTGAAGTGACCTAGGTCACTTTATATATGATCACGTGATAGATTTTATAGTAAAATCATCACATAATTAGGTTATTTTAAGGTCACTTCAAGGTCATTTGCCAACACTGTATTCTTATATATAGAAGAATATTAGTTTTAAGCTAATAGTTTTGAATTGTTATTGCAGTAATATTATTTCATAATGTTACAATGTAATCAATAACTTTTTTAACATTTAATTTATTTTTAACAAAATAAAAATTATGTTAATTAATAAGAATAAATATTAAGAATTAAATATTATCAATATTAATTAAATAAATTAAAGTCATAAACTTATTTTTTCAATCTATCCCTTTATTAAACTGCTAGATGCAATTGTTTATAAATTCTTATTTATATTTGGATTTAAAACTTTGAATAATTCCTGTATCCATAAGCTAAAGATGAACTGTAGTATTAGAAAGGAAATAAATAAGCTTAATATTAGTAAGTTTAATATCAGGTTTTTCTTTTTTGGCTTGCTTTTTTTATGTTTTTTTCTGTTTTAAGCTGTATAAGATGATTCAGCAACTATTTCTTCTTCATCTACATCTTTATTAGAATTGTTATTTTCGTTAAGTACTTTTAGATTAAAGTAAGTTTTGCATTATCAATGAGGAGCAAAATTTTCTGATCTATTGTGCGAAACTAATTATCAAGATATTAAAGCCATTTAATAAAGATATCTGATCTCATCCATACTTTTGAGTTAGCACAATAAATTACAGAAATGCTGATTTATTAATATTTTTAAAATATCATAAATTTAATGATTTTTTAATTACTAAAGGTAAAAACTAGTAGAATTAGCACATAAAAGGATCGAGAGACGAGTTTTATCCAATAAATAGTAAAATTATTGTTAATAATTTTTAATAAAATTTATAATTTTCTAAAATAATTTTTTTAAAAACTCATCTTTTTTTACTAATAACTTTACTTGTACTAAGAGTCTAGTTAGGTTTTATCTGAAAAAATAAGCCAGTCTCATCTGTATTATAAATATCTTCTTTATTCTAATTTGCCAAAAGTCTCTGTAATTTTAAATGTTCTTTAGATAATATAACTAATAGAGCATTATTAACTTCTCCTGAAAAGTTCACTTAATGTAATTCATTTTTTTGCTTAAACTTATATATCCAACCATTAGCACATTTTATTTTATCTTCAATATTTAATAATATTACAAATTCTAAACCTTTTTTTTGCAAAATTATA